AGCCTTTATTTATGCACTAAGGGAAAATAGATAATAATAATAATAATCCATATTATGTTTAGATATTCTATTGATCGTTAGTCTATAAAGTTATGAATCAATGAAAATAGAGCTCTAGAGAAAATATCACATTCGTTTTTCTTTTATCACTTGTTCCGATTTAACAGTACGGATGCATCGATCATCATTATTGAGGAAAAAAAAAAGATTTTATTTAAGTTCTATGCATTATATATCGAATCGTGCGTGAAGATCCCAAGATTGAAAAGCGAGTATATAAGAAAAGCTCTCGAGATAAAAAATATGTTGTTTATTGTATTTTTTGATCGGCACTTTCAATGGATTTATTTTAAGACTGAACTAATTACAAATCATAAGGTCATCTTAATATTAATAATCTCTATTAATAAATTGTATATAAAAATCGAAATCTAGCTTTTTTATATTTTTATTTTATAGATTGAGTTATTATATCGTTGCTTGTTCGTGTCATGTCAATTTCATTAAATTCTGTTGATTGTTCATGTTTAACAAATGCGTAGCTTAATAATCTCATTTAACACTATTTAATATATACAACAAATGACTTTGCTTTATGGTTAAATAAAATCGCTAAATAAAAAACAATATTTATCATCATCAACAATTGAATTTATTCAATCGTGTATCATAGCTGATACAATAAATATTCAAAACCAACAAATATTTAATAAATTCTTATCAATTAAAATCTATATTATTTTCCGATGAAAATATATTTTAAAAAAATGTCATTTAATATTTATTTATAAATATTTTAATCAAAATCAATGGAACAAATTTTGTACTATGCTTATACTTCGATTATTTCTTGAAAATAAATCAATAAAAATAATTTATATGGATATAAATGTAAGTTTATTTTATTTTAATTATTTTAATTATAATTATTGTTGTTTAAATGAAAAATATTTTGTTCAACGAAATAACTTATTTGAAAATTTCTTTTTTTAAACCAATATTCTCATTTAGAAAAATTTGAAGATCAATTAAATTTTATTGAAAACAATCAAAAATTGTTTCAAATATTAATTATTGATGATTTCTTTTTCACTAACTAAACCACATTTAAGTCTTGATAGACGTATAAAAGGCAAAAATTCTTCAATTAACATATTGTTTGAATCACCTTACACGGAAACAATCAATATTAATTCTCAATGAAATTATTTTTTGAATACAGAAAAACGAAGAAAAAATCATCAAGAAAATTTTCTTATGATATATAATATAGTTTTGATTCATTTCATGCTGATAAATATATTTTATTTCGATCATTAACAACAATTGAAAAACATATTTATGTTAGTGATCTTAATAAGAAAAATCATGATAGGCATTCAAAATTTGATCTTTTTGATTGAATAAATATAAATAATGGTAAGTTCTGTTTTTCAAAATTCCGTAAAACAAATATGTTAGAAGTAATGACCATACAATAATGGCAAGCAGTCTTATTACTGAATAAAATGTACATAAATCTCAATAATTTTATTTGATACTTTGATTGCAAATAGAACTCAGTGAACTCTGATCACAAGCAATAATTCGAGGTTAAGAATGTGCAGTTTCAGTATACTGACCACCGATAAAAACACACTGGCGTTCACTGGTACGCTGATGACACTGACACTGCGCGTACTGTCTGCAGTGACACACTGACACTGACTACACTTGTTGCACTGACGCATACTGGAACACTGACGTACTGATACTGATTTCCATTGACTAGAATTTATACACAGAAGGCGACGACATATTCCGCTTGTAATATATGGATTAACAAAAAATTTTCATCGAATGGAAGCATATCTGCTTAGTAGTTTGGTTTCTTGGTTGAGATAGGCTACATACACTTTCACGGGTGTGGGTGTGGGTATGGATGTGTGAATGTGGGTGTCTGCCTTCTCCTGACTCATCTACACCCGCACCCCCACACCCACATCCACACCCTAGGTATCTCATCATACTACAGATAAGAATTCTGTCTCTTACGAAATCCTACTTTCTACGAAACTCAAAAGGGTTTCGATTTCGTTTCAAAAACCGAAACTTTTTAGGGTTTCGTAGGGTACCTTTTTTCAGTGTATTCGGGTTGCACAACATCACTAAAAGTTAATAAAGCGAAAAATTTATGTAATCGTAACGATACAAATAGTTTTACAAAGTCCACATCAATTTTAAGAAACGCGCATCTTGTTTAAATGAATCTGGTTGAGTAATAAAATCCCGTAGTTATGTGTCAATATTAGGACTATCAGTGGCGTATTTCGTTGAAATTGACTTTATTATTCAAAATTATAGATTACTTAAATGAATCCTATTTTTTGGAGGAATAGGTATAGCAATTTCGCTAATTTCATTGATAGTCATAAATAAAGTCATGAGCAGTGCATACATTTATAGAGTCGGCGATTTGATACTTCAGTGAGTATCGTTGTTCCGGTGAATCCTGACACCAGTGCAGTCAGTGTCAGTGTATGCACTGGTTCAGGGAACACCAATATCAGTGCAGATAGTGGAACCAGTGCAGTCAGTGTCAGTGTGTCACTGCAGACAGTGCAGTCAATGTCAGTGTGTCACTGCATACAGTACGCTTAGTGCCAGTGTATCACTACAGACAGTGCGCTCAGTGTCGGTGTGTCACTGTCAGTAATTCACTGTTTTCACCGAAACTGCACATCCCTATTCGAGGTTGATAGGCCTTAATGCAAAGGATTTACAATGAAAATACTTTTTTTTCGAGAAACCAAGGAAAAAGACTTTTGCAGTTTCCCACGATTGAAATGTATTAGGTTCGATTCTGTTATTAATATATAAAAATTCTAATGTCCATATTTTGTCACAGATAGATTGCTTCAGTCTGATGCAATCTTGAGATGCAAGAAAAGCTTCATAGTTTAGAACAGTCTCCATTGATGATTGAAATCATGGAATTTTCAAGATAAATAGTTAAAACAAATCAGAAATATGGGCCAGTTTTTGACAATTTCCATTAATTCTTATGTTAGGATCATCCAGAGAATATTTCATAAATCAGACAATATAAAATCGTTTGGTTTGAAATTTTTATTGGTGATAGAAACAGCATTGAATTATCAAATAGGTTAGCTAACATCAAGAGATTTGTTTTCTATGTTAAAAATATTCTTCCTTGAAGAAAAAAAAACAAATCATGTTGACCTTCTCATTCTTCAACATTAAGATCGATCAAATTCTGATTAATCGTGACGATCAAAGTTCAACATTTTCTATCTATGATTAAACTACGATATTAAAGGATTGCAGTTTCAGTACTTTTTACTTGGTAGTGAGATCTTGTTTGACTACTGTAAATAGAATATTCATATAAAGTATTTTTATTCATAAAGGAACTTGATTTTTTTCTTTTTTGATGATATAAGACCAATAAGTAAGGAAATATGGACGAAAGAAATTCTCGAAAACAAGTAATAGATTTGATTCACGACTATATACTTTAGATAGACTCTAATAAACCATGAATACTATGAAAGGAGCTCGAACATTTAACTTGCTACTTCCATTAACTTTACACACGTGTGTTTTTTTAATTCAATGTAATTTTATTGAATCTTCATTTTTAAGGTTTGATTTTGAGAATTTTAAGTCCACGGACTTCTCACCATCGTACAGCAAGTGGTCAAGAATAATATGAAAATATTAGTTATGGATCACCAATTTAAATGTCAACAGAAAACGAGGTCAATCAATGATTCAAATGCTTCATCAAACATCTTTATCAATAGGTATAAACAATACAAATTTTTCGTACACAAATATCAGCTTTATATTTCATCATATATTCATATGTGTATAACACGAAATGAAAATCTTTAATACATGACTAATAGATAGAGAAAAAAAGGAAAAAGTTATATGTGGGTATGAGTCATATAACTAAAGAGAAGACTTATATAATTTGCTTAAACAAAATCGAGGTCACAATAGAAATATTTTCTTAAAAAGTCATAAAAATATTATAACTGCTAGTGGGTCCTTAAATCTTATCAATATTTCCACTACTTCGTGTTATGGCCTAGATCATCCAGACAATCTTTGTTAGCTATTCATTACACTAGACTGTACCTTTCTGCTCATATTATATATAGTTAGTACAGAGACAGACCAATCAGATTATTTATTTTAGGGACATCGAAAAATAATAGAAATGATTATCCTATATAGAATGCGCTAACTGATAAAATAGTCATATATAAAAAGAATGGCATGTAGACAAACATTAACAACCACTGTCTGTTAGATTATAAAAATACAATTGTTCTTTTTTAACTTTAAATAAACTCCATGTGATCTAAATATTGATTTTTTTATTATTTAATTTAGGAATCGTACAGTCGCTTCATCAAATTATATTGTATTCTTCCTTGGTATTGTCGATTAGTGTTTTTCATTGTACAACTTATTCTCATTTTGGTCGTGTTAACATTTGAAAAAATGTGCCGTCGGCTTAATATATTACCGACGTCAGAATTTTCGAAATTGAGATAAATGCATGGGAAGATAGCTCATCTCAGAGGTGTCCATGGCGGCGCTGCCGTGCCGCTGCCGCTGCCGCGACGCGACCGCCACGGCGGCAGCGGTAGCGGCGGATTTTTTGCGAAATCATCGCGGCAGCGGCGCGGTGGATTTTTAAAAGTGTGACAGCAGCAGCGGTGCGGCAGCGGCAATTTATCAACTTTGGCTGTTGCAGCGCGGCGCGGCAGCGGTTAAAATTTTCGAAATATTTCTTCAATTTTTTTCGAATAAATCTTAAGGCTTGGAATTATAATTCTGTCGTGATTCAGATTAGTGAGAATGTTTTTCTCGATCAACAGACTTTTAAGGCTATTCCACCGACTAACAGAAAAAGACCTCTTAATATTGTGTAAATAAATGATGTTATTTGAAAACATGTTAATAGCAGTTATAGAATATGTATGCTGCTCTGTTCTAATTGACGTACGTTTTTATCATTGTCAATCTCGTTTCATAGGCACAATAAAAACAATATATGTTAAAAAAATTGATACGCGTTTTTAATAAACTTAACATCTTTGAATAATACAATAAATTTGTTTTTATCATTTTGTAGTTTTCCTCAGGATGAATATTTATTAAGTGGATTCTGATCGATTTTTGAAGAGTCCGACAATTTTATTACGCGCACTATTAATGTTCTTTAGAAATCTATAGGATCCATAGAATCTGTCGGGATCTGTTTTTCACCCTCGTATTTGGCGCAGTAATTCATGAACTTTATAATACATATTTTTTTATTTTAGAGACGAACACATTTTCTAGACTATATTTTTTGTATTGTCGCGGTCGCGGCGCGGCAGCGGCGCGTTACATTTCAGCGTGGACGCGGTGCGGTAGCGGCGCGGCATCATGTTTTTTAAACAGCGGCGGTGCGGCAGCGGCAAATTCTTAGCCGCGATGGGCATCTCTGGCTCATCTTCAGATCTTTCAGATATGATATGATTTTTTATCAAACACCCCTCTTTTGGCTAAAAATTTTGATGATTTTCGTTAACTTCTTCTTGAAAACTATGCTTATTTTTAAAAAAACGAAAAATGTTTTTCGTTTTTTCTCAGTTTATGATTTTTTGATTTTATTTCCAAGATTTCTCTGTCTAGTGTCTTTCAATATATTTAAATTTTTTTGTTGTTCTTCAAGAGCATGTCTAGATGCAGGGCACTACAGAGTCCTTTTTTTAATTAAGCTTTGTTTTTTATTTTATATAGAGACATTTATGTAACTAGACACCCATTTTTGGCGCGTTTTTTGAGTTATTGAACTTGTGATTCCCTTTCTCCGCTAAAAAAGTAGAAATTTAAAAAAAAAGGACTCTGTGGTGCCCTGCATCTTGACATGCTCTTGAAGAACAAAAAAAAATTTAAATATATTGAAAGTCGCTGGTCCGAGAAATCGTA